AAAGATATAGAGTTCCTTTACTGCATAATGCTGGCGTGTCGATGTCAGCGCGCACAGCTCAAAGCAGAGGAGGTGGTGGGCGGTGTGACTGGTGTCACAGTGGGCGTGGTGCTTGAAAGTGTAATTTAATTAAGAGCCCCACCAAATGGCGACACTAAATATGCGCCACACATAAAAGAAATGGCAGAAACAAAAATCAGATTCACTAGACGGCGCCAAGGGAGATGCGCGTCTATGCGAAAGCGTGGGGCCAGAGGACTAAGGACTAAGGACAAAGGACATTCACTGCAGCACAGCCAGCGCCACTTAATGAGTTGTTTGGCGTCAAGCGGGGTTCAGGGTAGGGGTAGGGGTAGGGAAAACAGACTGTGTGCAAAAAACAGAGAACGGACTCAAATGCATTTTTATGTTTAACTTTATGTCTTCAGTGTGAAATGCTGAAAGTGTAATTGGCCGACTCGAGTACTTGGTAAATTTGCATAGCACCCATTTGGAATAGTTATGTTTAAGTGGCATAAATACCAAATGGTTAATCCTCATGTTAAACTAGCTAGCAAAGCGGAGCACAAATTAAAACTTGCAATTAAACATTTGAGCAAAAAGAACAAATTATAACAGAAAACAAATTGGTTTTAGGTTAAATTACCCAATTAAAATATAAAGGGTACTCCTACTATTATTAATATTAGTATTTAAAGGATGGCTGAAAATTGGATGAAAGAAAATTTGTGAATTTGAATCTATAAATAGAACCTATAGCTCTTAAGTATACTATAAAATGTCTGCGCCTGCGATTAGCTCTATTTTTCGGGTTTTTGTGGGATACACCTTCTATAAAGTTCGTATTAAGCCTATTTATATATTTTATCTTGAGAGTTACAAATAGATAGATAGGTATAAATAAAATTCCAATAGGTTAACTATTTTCCTATTTTATCTTTATCTTTATCTACCTTCTATAAGCATAAACTGATATATGGCATATTCAGATCGGATCATGTGCTCCGATTTTTATCTTTTAAGAAATCCCTTCTATAATTTTATAATTAAGTTTTTGTTAACATTCAGTATGTTTCTAAGGGAAAGCTGGTATGAATAGCCCGAGCATAAACTCATGAATGGAACATTCACATCGGATCCTGTGCTCCGATTTTTGTGTTTTCACAACCCAACCACATAAGCTTGCAATTACGACAAACAACTGCTCATTTACACTTCCAAGTGGTAGTCGCTATTCAAAGGGACTGACCCTAATCCATTTTACCGCGCACTCACCTCGATACATTGGAAACTCGCCATCGCTGTGACTGTGACAAAGCATAATTGGAGAACGGCAACGCGAGGCGGCAACCATGATGCCCGTCTTGTGGTGTCCGGCGACAGTCAGTTTGGTGGCCGTCAATTTGGTGGTGGACGATGACGAGGATGAGCTGCTGCTCGCTGCGACCACGTTTGATGGCAGCGGATTAGATGCTTTTAGCTGTGCCGCAGTCAGAGCGTTGCCAGCAGCTCCGCTGGCTGGCGTCATGGTGGCACAGACGGAATAGGAGCGCGCCACATGGCTCAAGGTGCGACGCCGTATAGTCGCGGCTGCCATTGTTGTTGTTGCCGTTGTGGTTGCGGCATTCGCGCGATAATGATGCTGCGGCGTCGAGTACTGGTAATGGTGGCCCGACTGCTGCTGCTGCAACTGTTGATAGGCGGCGGGTGCACCGCCTAGCGACAAATGATGCTGCAGCGGCGGATGCGGATGCGGATGGGCATGAGCTGCCGCGTATGGATTATGCGTAGGCGGATGCTGTTGTTGCTGCTGCTGCTGTTGTTGTTGCTGAAAGGGCGGATGCGAGTGCTGATGCTGCAGCAGCTGGCGTTGTTGCTGCTGCTGTTGCACGACGGCCATTTGGAATTGCTGCTGCAGCTGCTGCAACAGATCATGCTGCAGTTGCTCATTGCTCTTGGCTGCCGCATTCTCGCTGGCATTCGTTTGGGATTGGGTCTGCTTTTGCTTCTCCCAGGGTCCGTTGCTGTCGCCGCCGTAATCCAGCTTGAAGGCGTTTGTTTCTACGCACACTCACACACGGACACACTCACAGATTGGGCCCAGCTCATCGATGGCAGGTTTGTACTAATTGAGGCGCCGCACGTCGCCAGCCAAATGGGGCAACATTAAAACGCGCTCGCGTCTGCCAACAGCTGATGCACTCGGCCAGGATTGTCACTTATTTATGGATCGCTCGCTCGCTCGTGTGTGTGTGTGTGTGTGAGGATAACTATGTCGGTCATACAACAGGACCTACTTGCAAACTTTCATCAAATAGCAGCACACGAGAGCTATAGACACGCACGCACACACACACATATAAACATATATAAATACACAAGCACACACACACAGAAACTGTGGCTTTATCAAGGAGACAACGCGTTTACGTTCACATCAACCGACAACTCGACCAGATACGTTGGTCTTAAGTACAACGACTGATTGCACGAAGCTTTGTTATCCTGTGCAAAAGCTGCCAGAGCAATGCCAGCGCAGTCAAAAGCACAGTCAAGCTGGAGAGCCAGAGGCTGCAGCAAAGAGAGCCAGAGAGCGAGAGAGAGAGAGAGAGAGAGAGCGCGCACTGGCAAAAAGCACAAAACTGGACCAACGGCAGCCTGTGCGTGTGTGTGTGTGTGTGTGAGTGTGTGGGTGAGAGCCTGGTCTGTTTATGAACATTCTTTGCATGCAACGAGCGTGTGTTTTGCCAACTCTTCCACTTTGTTTACCGTAAAAGCGCACACGAAAAAAGTAAAACAACCGACAACACGAACGCTATGAAAAGTGTGGCACAGTTCAAGGCGCACCACAGTGGGGCAATATCGGACAAAACTAATCAATCGTAAAATTAACGATTTTGTTTTTAACTTTACAATTAGATTCCGTTGTTATGCTCTGTACCATTTATAAATTATTTTGAGCTAATTTGGATTTGCAATTGCTGCATATTAATTTAAATGCACCCTTCTATGCGATTTTCATGAAATGTAGCACTTTAGTAATTGAAAAGCTAATATGATCTCATGTTTTTTTTTTTGCATTTCTCACTCTCTTTCTCTTAGTGGCATTCTCTTACACATTCTCTTTTCATTATATTTTTCTTACTCGCTGTGTCTTTTTCTACTACTCCCTCCTCTCTCTTAAACAATTGAGTTCAAGAGAATCGCATAGAAAGGCGATATTCAACAGAATCTCTTGTACTAATTAATTAATTCTTTGTAGCTATGCATCAAATAATAATCATCATTCGCAGGAATATTACTTGCAATTATTAAATGAAATCAAGCCTGAAACATCATTAACAGGTACAAAACCATTTAGTCCAACCGTTTTTTCTAGAACCCCAACAGAATATCTCAATTGCATATAGATAAGATAAAGCTTTAAGTGCGTCATGCTTCATACATTTCGTAACGTTATCGAATACTTCCAGATAAAGTTATCTTCAAAAATATTTAATAATGAATATACGTTCCCAGTGTATGCTGCTAGTTATTGGTGCTATATTCACCCATTCCCGACCCACTGAATAAGCCATTCAAGCACGAAACACAACATTCTGAGCGCTGGGTTCATTCACCCAAACCAAGACACACCGTGAAGCTCCAGTCAGGCAGCGTAAACAGCTGCTCCTGGGGCCAGGACCCAAACAGATTTCAAGAGCAGCTGCAAAGCTCTCAAAAGCTTTTTTCCCAATAAGAGATGCACGGAGCGGGCAGAGAACAAAAGAGTAACCCAAAAGAAAACCTGGTTTCGGTTTCTTTTTTTTTTTGTATTTTTTTACGGATACGTAAAGTCGTAGTCGTAAATTATTTATGTATTTGTCACTGAGTCTTTTGATAAAGTTGTTGCCAGATAATTTCGATGGTGCACCCAGGAGGCGGAGCACACGGAGGTGAGTCTGTCTCGCCCCACTGATAAGGACGCCAAGAAAGTCGATATCATAATACAAACACATAACAGGCGCACAAAAATGCACAGCAAGCAGCCCAGCATCAAATGGTATGTTAACCATATCAGAATTGGCTCTGGAATCGTATGGGAGGGGGAGGTATGAGGTGGGAGGTCGGTTTGGTTGGGCTGGTGACGCCTGCTGGCTGGAGGCGGCACTTTGCGTGGGTTGTTTGGTTTGCCGTGCGCAAACGAAAAAAAAATAGAAACGAACTGTTAAAAAGTATATATGTGTGTGGGTTGTGTTGCTTGTTTCGATTTCTGCACTGCTGTGTTTAAGGGTCGACTACTTTAGGGGCGTTCCAGAGAGTTTTGGGCAACAAGTTGTAATTGCACTTACCGCTTATATCACGATCATAGAGGTAACTGCTGGCGCTGCTCTTTATGCTGATGCAGTCCAATGGCGTTGGCTCGAAAATGTTGTAAGAATCGCAGGAATTTGCGCCGGGCGTGGTGGGCGCCTCACCAGCTGCCAAATATAAAAGTTGGAAGAAAAAATAAACAAGATTGGCCAACTAAAAAATACCCAATACATAGCCTTTAATTTCAGTAACTTGCATTTTTACTTATTTTTCTAATTCCATATAAAAAAAAAAACTATTTAAACTTATTCATAGATGATAAAACTAAAGTATTAACCTTAAGAGCTACGTATGTTTATAGTATATATCTTATGAGGAACAATCAATAAGTTTAGTTCAGTTTCTTAAGAAACACCTGGACTTCCCTAGCAAATTAAAAAAAGTAATGTTTAATATCGCCCTACTATGCGATTCTCACAAGGTCAAGTTAACAAGTTTATTGCGTTCTAGTGTTGCATTCACAAGTTGTATGCGGCGTTCAAATATGCTTCACTTTTGTGCATACGTAGATGCAATATGTGTATATTACAATATATACTAACAATTCTTGATTAATTCGGATGTAAGAAATATCCTCACTCCTCTTATATACATATGCAGTATAGCCTGTTTAAACCCGTTATAAATAAGACGCATAAGAGTAAATATACTATTTAAAACCTTAAGCAATCAGCACTTCAAGCTTAAAGCATATGTACCAATACTTTCGGCTTTCACATATAATTTAAAAAAGTAACAATGTCGGACATGGTCTAAATTATTTTCGGCGACGGTCTTTGAACTGTTTTTTATAGTTGCAAAGCTTCCAATTAACATTTGCCAAAATGTTAAGCTGATTCTTGTTCAGATGCTTAAAGATTTCATCGTACACTACGCTGGGTAATCCGAGCAATGAGGGATGCGGATGTAGATCTAAGGCTAGAAGTTGCTGGGCGCGCATCGGCTGAAAGAGATTTTGGCGCAGCTGTAACGAGAGCTCGTCCAGCTTGCAAAATCGCTGGTAAATCGGCTCTAGCTGCACGTTGAGCACAAAACGTCCAATCGACAGACAAGTGCTAAAGCCACGCTCCTTCGATGGCGCTACCGGGCTGAGTGTGACCACCATCAGATCGCCCAGCACAATGGCAATGAGACTTGACTGTAGCGCAGTTATCATGGACGGCTCCTCCGAGCTTTTACTGTCCAGCAAGGTGCGTAAGAGCATGCGAAACGCAGTGTCCTCGAATTCCCGGGTGTAATGTGTCGGCAGATGGCTAAGCAGACGCACATTATAGAGATGAAAGCTACCAACTGCCGACACAGGCTTCAGCAGTGCTCGCTTCTCCAAATAGCTTTGGTTCTCCACAAATCCGGACTCCAATGCGACCAAATAGATGAGCAGCATTAGCAGCTCGGCAGCAGATAGCTTGCGTTGGCTAAATTGACTCAGCATTTCGCGTAGATGCAGTGGCACCGCATCTGGCGTGGCGTTCTCTAGGCATAGCGGCTCCTTCTCCTTCTCCTTCTCCGCTTGGATTTTAGATTCGGACGCCGCTGTAATGAGGCAAGGTTTGGCAATGAGAACACCATGTGCATGTTGAAGTTGTTGTTGTTGTTGGGGCTGTTCTTGCATCGGTGTTGTGTGTATGTTGTTAGTTGACGAATGCGGTGGATTTTGAGAGTCTATGAGAATCACAGAGATTAGTTAACATGTGCAACATACACGTATAGCAAAAAACCAACCTGCGGTGCGTGTGTGTGTGTCATGCGTAACCAAATTGGAAACTACGTGCATTTAACTATTTTTTTTTATTTTTTTTTCTGAATTTTTTAATTGATTAAAATTGTATACACCAGAAAGGAACACAAAACTCAAAGGTGCTAATTTGTACAAAAATTGGGCGCGCTTCAAAACAACACGACGTATGCGCGATCAAAACAAAACCAAACACGACCCAAACCGTCTACTTAAAACAAATATACATAAATAAAGCACTAAAAAATAAACTATTACTTATCAAAGTTACAAAATTTATAGTTTAACAGATTCGTGTTTAATTGTTCAGGCTCGAAACTTTTCGTGCTGGCACGCGCCCATCCAAAATTGTTACACAAAATTAAAAAAGAATAACTCAAGCAACAAACTCGAACGAATGAAACAAAAGCGGGAAAAAAATAGGATGGGGAGGGGGGAGGGGGGGGGGGGGAGGGGTGCGTCTTGCAAAAATTTGCCAAAAAGAACTAAAATAAATCGTGTGCAAACATAAGCAACACACACCAGTATAAATTATATATTTTGATAACACAACAAAACTTAACAACTTTTCCACAAAGAAACATTTTTGTTTCTCGCTATTTTTTTTTTTTTTTCGATTTTTGCTTTGTGCCGATATATGTACATATGTCACCATAAATTTGTGACCAATTAGTTACCCACATAACATTAAACTAAATCAATCGACATACAAACTAATAATTAATATTAATAAATTAAAGCATTTTGCAGCGATAAATATTGTTTGCTTATGTATTTTAATTAACTATACCAGCTGGACAGCTTGGAGGCGCATACTAACCTGTTGATGCATCGGGGGCTGACTTTAACGATGACGCAGCCTTTTCCGCTGCTGCTGGTGCTGGCTCGCCGGCGTTGGTGTCGGCGGCGTCTGTCTTTTTCGATGTTGAATCGGACATTATACGTTATGTGCTTATTAATTTCGTGTGCATTACGTTATTTTTAAATAAATTTTCCTCAAATAATTTGGAAATCATTTGACTAAGACTTAAACGCGTTCTGCGTTTCCAGCACACACGTTCACAAATTTACAATGACAAGTGCACTTAATGCGCGGCGAGTTACTTTAAACAATTAGTTAGTGTTGTTGCGCGGGGCGCGCGTTCGATTTTGTCATGTTTTCAAATGCTTTTGCTGTAAATAATGCAACGTAATAGAACACACGAAAATTTTAATCTTTAAAGTCCACTTATTGAAACTATCGATATAACATCGATAATTTGCTCAGCTATCAAATCAGTGCTGCCAGCTGCCGCACAAAAGAAGTAGCTGTATCGGAAGAAAAAATATTGTTAAATATAATTGAATTTACTCTTTAAGCAAAAATGTAATAAATAATTATGCTTGTACTTGTCACTTAGATGTAAAAAATATTTTAATTAGTTTAAAAGCTCTACTGTTTCCTGCTGACGATCTCTAAACTATCCTAATTTGGTTAGAAAGTAGCTAAATTGGCAACACTGTAATTGATATGAAAATAATAAATAAACAAATAATTTGTAAGCATTAATCTTTGGGAGGGTTACATTTTATTTGTGTACCAGCATATAGTTGAGCGTAAGCATTTTGTTATGTCATTTAATTAATATGCATATTTGCACAGCATACAAGCTTATCTTGCTGTGCCCAGCGTACTAGCCTTACATATTTGTCGCACAGTCGCATTGCGCTCATCTCTAATTGCCGGCAAATAACTTTGTTTGTATAGCAATAGCAACTGCATTGAGATGACTTCCGTTGAGGAAAATGAAATGTTCATGGTTAAACAGGCGCAAAGCGTGCGCATAAGTGATCCGAGCGCAGCCAAGGCATGGATTTTAACTGCCAAGACGCTCTATCCGAATGCATTCAATGTGCAATACGAAGCCTACCTGCTGGAGCGCGACAGCAAGAACAGCGAGGAGGCGGCCAAGTGTTTCAGTGTCATGTAGGTGGCAACCAGAACCGTAAAGAAATCAATATAAATCATACAAACAAATGTTTACAGCGCTAGCAACTTTACCAATCAGCATGCGGAGCTATGGCAGGAGGTTAACGCTCTGACCAATGCGCTGCGCAACGAGACGGAAAACACGCCGGAGCAGGAGTTCTATGTGAAGATGTACAAGCATCTGACGCCGGAGGTGCAGCATAATATATTTGTGCACACGATCAGCAATTGTGGCGATAATTTACAGCAGTGCATACACAGTTATATACTTATGTTCAACAAGTTCCCCAAAACGGCGGCAACGCATGCGCCACGTTTGCTGGAGATGCTCGCCGAGGGCATGAAAGCCGATCCGGATGTGTATCAGCGCATGCTGGTGGAGGAGGTGCTGCCTTTGATACAGAATAAGCCACCAGAGCTAAACCCACTGCTAGCATGTCGCCTGTACACCAACTCCTTGGAGTATTATCTGCGCCAGATCATGGACGATGAGAAGTGCGACACAACGGAGGCATGGAAAAATATATTCAAGGTGCTCATGCTCTGCGGCCAAATGATGGGCTGGGAGGCCTTTCTGCCCTTCAGCAAGCAGGTCAATCAGAATGTCTATTGGGATAAATTGGTGAAAATTCTGCGCAGCAGTCCAGCTGGCAGCTCCCAGGTGCTATTCTATGCGACCACGCTGTTTATTTATTCGCTCCACGGCTACATACGTAAGCTGCGCATAGAAGATGCCGATGTAAATCATGTGCTTGTTGAGGGTTTTATTGACTGGACGCCGGAGGGTGGCGAAGTACAGAGCATGGACTGGACACCGGATGGCGGCGAAGTGCAGAGCATGGAGCCGCCCAAATTTTCGGCAACCACAGCAATAAGTCAAGAGCTATCCGAAGCCTTTCTCCATGCCGCGCGCTGCTGGCAGCTGCTCAATACAGAACAGTTCCAGCGCGATTTCAGTCAACTGATGTTGGCCCTGCCGCTGGCACCGTGGATATCGCGCTTTCTCTTCGATCTGGCCATCTACTTCGGACATCGCGATGAGGCCAACAAGCTGATGGCCGACATGACCGCTCAGAGCACCCTGGTGCAGAGCCTGCAAATACTAAGCTTGAATCTAATGCAGGGCAGCATGACGGTGAGTGAATCCTCTAGAGAATCGATAAGGCGTTTTCATTCTCCAAAATTTTTCAGCTTCAGGGCTTTCAGTGCATTCTCAAGATACTCGCGGAGCTGCCCGCCACCAGTGGCCAGCTATTGGAGAACATCAGCCTGAAGAGCCATAGGCACATGATCTTTCTGCCGCTAACCAAAATAGCGCTCATCCAGTATTGCACACGCGCCATAACCAGTCGCCTGAGCCGCATGCTTTTCGAGCCCAACTGCTCGGATCGGCTGTTGGGCGACCTGTTGGCACTGCTGCAACTGAGCCCCGACAAGGATGTGCTGCTGAAGCAACACATCTTCAATCTGATCACGCAACGCAAGTCCTTCAATCTGCACATCCTCTCCAACTATATTATTGCAACGGATATCATTGAGGAGCTGGCCTTTATATGGAACTCGCAACAGCAGGACGATGCCAATTTTGAGCTAACCGGTTCGCCCACCGGTAGCAGCAGTGCACCTGGCGGCACGAACGCCGCAGGCGTCGCACAGCCACGTCGCATTGGCACACGCGGCGCCGACAAGGGCGCCCGGGATGAGTTCAAGTCGTTGATACGCCAGCAAATCGCGCGCTGCAACGAAAATGTGCCCAACCTGGTCGCCAACTTCATCACACAGGAGCAACTGACGCTGGCACAGCACATCTTTGGCATTGCGCCGCCCGTGGAAACAATTGTCATCAAGTAAAGCGAATGTTACCTGGAGTGGACCGAACATATCTCGCACTTGAAGCCTTTTTATGTATTGTAAATATAAAGTTTAAGTTAGGATAACATATTTTTATATATTATTGATTATATAGCTTGTAAGAAATAGAAGGAAATTTAATTGAAATGTAAAGTATGCTTAAATATCTGGATATATAATATACCCGAAAAAAAGCGGCTAGCTATACACTTAAATCAATTTTACTTTAATTCTAGTGCTTGTCAAAAAATGTTTACAATTTCTGTGCCTATAAAGCTTTAGGTCACCTGAGACTTTCGAGTAATATTAATATCATGACATTTTCTATTCCGTACCTATAAAAAATTAACTCGCTTGGATTTAGGGAAAAATTAAATTGATATAAGTGCTCTAGTCGGAAGTGACCGACTAGGAGATACCCTGAACACAGCGACCAGCTACCTTCACGAACATTCTAGCTACCTTCTATATGCCTCTTTACTTAGCCTCATATTAAGGAAAATGCATTCTTGACAAATTTCGGTGCTTATAGACTGAGCTTTATGAAATTTTTAGAGCATAGATTTCCCATTCAAATGTGTCTAAGTACCAAAGTCCAAGCATATATATTTTGTTCTTTTCTGATGATGACCAAATGGTTAAATATTCTGGACACTATATCAAAGTTAAACTATATATATTATAAATAATTAAAATTAAGTCATTTATTGACAATGATAAATGGCTCTAGCTGCCAGAGTCTCCTGGGATCGACGCGTTCATATATACGGATAGACAGACAGTCATGGCCAGATAGAGTCGGAATATATATGTTTACTTTCTGGGGTCGAAAAATCCCTTTTCTTCCAGTTACACACAATGGGTTTAGGGTATACAAAGTTCTATACAGATATTATCCAGTTCCCTTTAGAATTTTCGTCATGCTTAGAAGGAAATGTTTGTACCTATGAAACCTTATCTGCCCGAGAGCTTACGATAGACTTATTGATTATTGAAACGTAGCTTATAAATTTATTTCGAGCTTATCATGGATTATCACGGAAATCTTTTGAGATTTTCAAATATTACAAAATAGCAATGCTTAATTAATGAATCATAACATTTGTTTTAAAATTGAGACTAGTTTCCATTTGAAAGTTTGATTTTATTTTATTTACAACATTTAAAAACATAACAAGTATAACGAATGTGCGATATGTTTCTTTAATCCTATACAAAATAGGAAAATTAAGATCTAGAGATTCTTGTGCAAACACTTAAAATATATTTCGAATTAGCTACAGTTGCCTTTGTATATAAATAAATAAATATGCCCTACTTAAGGTACCACTTTAAAAATTATAAACAATTGAGAACAAGTTAACAAATACAACAGTTTAATTTAGAATATTTTGCAGCTTGCTTTCATTGGTTACATAAAAGTTATATAGTTAATATATAAATTGTTGCTAATAGCCTCTTGCTAGCGATATTACGCACAATAATACAGAATAAATACGATGACTAACAAATTTGGTTGTTAATTTACTTAAATCACATAAATTTAATAAAATTCTATCAATTATGTTTTGCTTGTTGTCAGGGTATCAGCTGATCGTGGTGCTGTTCCGGATGGGTTCTCGGTTGCTGTCACCTGTTCCTCTAGGTTGCCCGCAACCGGCACATCCTTTGAATTGGACGACAGATCGACGGGCAGATCGATGCCAAAATCATGCTTCATATAGGACATGAGCACATTGTAGACTGCCGTGCAGACATTGACAAATGCCACACGATATTTGGTGTCCAGATAGCGGAAGTTGATATATTGCGCCGCCGGCCAGGTCAGCCAGTCCATCAGATAGATGTACGGAAATTTGGCAATCATTTCCGTGTGCGTCGCCTGCAGCGTTTGGCCTTCCAGATAGCAGACCGTATAGAAGAATATCAGAATGCAGGCGGGCGACATGAACAGCTGATCGATGAGTATCTTATTGACGATATTCCGAAATGTACGATGCGGCATCACGCGATCCATCCAATTGTAGACGAAATGATGCAGCGGTCCCTGCAGAGCGCCAGCCACGAACATCCGATAGATACGCTCGCCATCATAGCGATCCTGATTGCGTAATCCGTGCCGGTATTCGTACTCCTGGGCGATGACATCGCCCACGGCCATCAGCACGCCGGAGCCGAGCACATTGGTCACCAGCAGATATTTGCCAAACATTTTGCTCCACACCTGCTTGGACCAGCGCAACAGCATAAATGTGTTGGCCTGGCTGGCCTCACCCTTGCCATGTGTCTGGCGCCTGGCGAGCATACGGCCCACGGTGATTACATCAGACCTGGTCACGATGCGGGTCTTTGTAAGCGTCACAAATGTACGGCGTATGCAATGGTGTCTACTGTACTGCAGCAGGGGCTGATACAGGGCCGCTCCTCTGGCCGCCACCTCAAGCATGCTGTCCTTCCTACAGTGCGCTCGGCACACCGGCAGAGCAAAAATTCAAAAAATAACGTGCGTACCGGACTACTTCCTAGTTTCTTTTTGTTTCGTTTTTTATTTCACGTTACGAATTCGTGTTTGTTTTGCTTATCGGTTTGACATAACGGTGAACGGGTGGGCGAGGGTAATGGGCGACGTTTCCATCAACGAGCATTAATGCGCATTACCAACGGACCAGAGCAATTATCGATAAGTTAGAATACGAGATTTTTTTGATTTCAGGTTACTTTATAAAATATAATGAACAAATTAATAGAAAGCAAACAGAAAGTAGAAAAAAATGTTGCAATTGACAGTTCTCAACTGCTCAAAACTCTGACCCCAGTTTAATCTAAGCTTTAAACAGTTGGCCATACACGTTTATTGCTAAAGCAAAGAAAATGGAAGCGACAAAATTATACTTTGCTTAATCGTACAAGGCTTTTAACAATAATAATACCAAAATAAGTCAAATTAATCTATTATTTTTATTATACATCCAAATCCACGGAATATCAGCAACTGTTTGCATGTGCATTCCAATTGCTGTAGCTTAGCTGCGATATATCGATTACTTTGAGCTATCGGTTGTTTGCGTGTCAGTAGTGCAGCCCTGGCAACGTCGGCGTCACTTTGCTCTTTGCTTTGCTCTTTAGTTCGCGTTATTTTTAGGCCGCCTAACACAACTTTTTTCACAACGCCAGCGCGCCAAATGTTTTTCTGGCTAAAATAGAAAAAAATCCATCAAAACACGCAAGTTTCCGCTTATAAAACACAACTAACACGCAGCGCTATCAAAATTTTAAGGTTAGACACGTACGCCGCTTACAAAAGTGTCGATAAAACAACAAAAATTATGAAATTTACATAAAAAAAGTTGACATCGGCTAATTAATTCTTTTGTTTTCTACTTTAGTTAACAACAAGCAAAAGTGTAGCCATTATGCGGCTACTATACGTCTTCGCACTGATACTGGCCGTGCGGCTGGCATCGGTTTTTATAGTCAAGACCTACTATGTGCCGGATGAGTACTGGCAGAGTCTGGAGGTGGCTCACAAGTTGACTTTCGGGTAAGCGACGGCAGGGGGTCCAATCTAGAATTGGGCGCGGGTGTGACACGTACGCACATGACTCAACGCAAAGATCGCATTTCCTGTTGAGGATAAAAACCAAGCTAAAAGGAATTTGATAGAGCAAAGAATTGCATTTCGTGTTTGCGTCCTCTCTAGTCTAATATTGGCTATTACAACTATCTTTTATCCCCCCCGCAGATATGGCTATCTCACCTGGGAATGGGTACGCGGCATACGCAGCTACGTTTATCCGCTGATAATAGCTGGCGTATATAAATTGCTGGCGCTGCTGCAGCTGGACAGCGCCCAGTTGTTGGTGCTGCTGCCACGCCTGCTGCAGGCCACATTGTCTGCCTACTCGGATTATCGGTTTTACGTTTGGACTGGCAAACGGAAGTGGGCGCTCTTTTTGATACTTGTGCCCTGGTTCTGGTTCTACACGGGCTCACGCACGCTGGCCAACACGCTGGAGGCCTCGCTGACCACAATTGCCCTCAGCTACTTTCCCTGGTATGGCGAGGGCACCGCCTACTTGTGGCCAGCGGCAATCTGTTGCTTCCTGCGCCCCACAGCGGCTGTTATCTGGCTGCCATTGGCTTTCTACCATCTGCGCAAGAGCCGCTTGTCTGTGCCGGAGCTGATCCTCAAGCGATTCGTTCTCATTGGGTAAGTGCGTTGCAAGGAGGTATCGCCGACCCAATCAACAGCTTGTTTATTGTTTCAGTTTGCTGGTGGCCGGCACCGGCATTGCCATAGATACCTATTGGCATGGTGAGCTGATTGTGACGCCGTGGGAGTTCCTCAAGTACAACGTGCTGCACAACATTGGCAGCTTCTATGGCTCGCATCCGTGGTACTGGTACTTTACAGTGGGTCTGCCCACAGTGCTGGGCATTAATACGCTGCCTTTTATCTTCGGCATCATGCAGACCGTGCGACAGGGCAACAAGTTTCCGATTAGCAAACAGCTCCTGATTAGCATATTGGTGACATTGCTGGTGCTGAGCACGGTCGAGCACAAGGAGTTCCGTTTTGTGTCCTCGCTGTTGCCGTTGTGCCTGTACGTGTCGGCGGAGGCGTTGTCCCGCTGGAGCTATCGCGCCTCGAGAACTCAACTGTGGGCGGCCGCCTCGGTCATTCTGGTGGGCAACGTTGTGCCCGGTTGGTACTTGAGCACTGTGCACCAGAAGGGTCCCATTGAACTGATGCCTAAGCTAAGAGAAATAGCCCAGGAATACCGCGACGAGGGCGAACATCGCGCCAATATACTCTTCCTCATGCCCTGCCACTCCACGCCCTATTACAGGTAAGCGTTGGCAAATGTTTAATTAAATCTTAATTATATTAATGCGAATATTTTTAAAGTCATATTCACGAAAATGTCACAATGCGCTTCCTAACCTGTGAGCCCAATCTGGAGCAGCGGGATAACTTTAAGGACGAGGCTGATCGCTTCTTTGATTCACCCATGCACTGGCTACGCTCCCACATTCCGGTACATCCGCTATCGGCGTTGCCCTCGCATCTGGTGCTATTCGATACACTGGGCGACAAGATCAGCGAGTTCCTAACCAACTACAAGCTGCTGCACAGCATTGAGCACGCCGAGGTAAACAAATTGGTTGACTCCCAGGCGTTGCTGGACGAGTGGTCGTCAGCGCTGGGAACGCAACTGCCTAATGTAGCGTCTCTCTTACAGTACGTCCAGTCGCGCACCGGTAAGAGCATCCTGGTCTATCAGCGTCTGCAGACGGGCGAGGAGAATGCATTTAATCGGCAGGAGTATCGGGAGCAAGAGCCTGATCTTCCGGCGGCCGAAACGCAATCGAGTGAGAACCTGTTCAATTGAATATTGTATTTTGCTGGCATTTTATGTAGTTATTATCATCAGTCGTTGCAAATTTTAAAATGTCATTTTCTTTTAAGTTGTTTGAAAAGACTTAATGCAACAGTTAGCCCTCCGTTAAAAGCAAACAAGAAACAAATTGAAATTATTAACTTTACGGCCTTAGGAACAGTTTTTAAAACGTTTTCGAAACAAGTTTTGTAGTGAGTGAACGCGTTTTCTTTTTTGTGCTTTTGTGGTAGTTGATAATTTTTTTAACTCAATAGTTTTGTATTAGGCGAAAAATGTCTAAAGTGAGGCAATATATTTAAGCGTAAAGTAATATAATAATTAGTGTCCTTTTTTAAGTTTTTTGAAATAAAGGTTCAGTAAATTAAAATAAATTATTTTTGGTTTAAATTTGAAAAAAGATCGATACTTTTTACTTTTGGCATGCTCGAGCATGAGTGATCTTATATAAACATAAGAATATTTATTGAATACTATAAAAATAATCGTTTCAACATTTCTTTATTATAGAAGCTAACTCCTGTGATAAACTGATAATAAATTAAAATCATATAACATATTAAATGATGCGGCGGCATCGATTGGCGATGGCGATGCTTACGCACAGCGAAATAGAGATGTAACCATACCGATTGTTATGTTCAGCTGCAGTAATCGATGTATCGATGTGCCCAAGGCAGTATATCGTGTTGAGGGTCAGTGCCGTCGCCGTCGTCTGCATTAATTAAACGCGTTTTAAACAATAAGCTAGTCAGCTCGAGCAATTGCACAGCTTCAACTCGCACAAGCGACAGCAACAGCAAAAAGCACATACACACACAAAAAATGGCTGCTTCAATGAGAGCGCTGCTTAAAGTGCGAGGTAAGTGAAAAAGAAGAAAAAAATCTATTGCGAAACAATTTTAAAACGATGTGTGTGCAAAATTATATAACTTGCGTACGATTTGTGGCATGAAAAACACAAACAGAATCTGCGGCAACAAGTGGCACCTACAACAACAATTAGTATGGATTAATTGGAAAAAATTAAATGGATTCTCGGGCAAAACGACGTGGCTGTAGGTGCTGCGGCGGCGGGTGGGTGCATATGTGTATGTGTGTGTGTGTGTGTGCGTGTGTGTGTGTAGGTGGAAAGAAGCAGAACTGGGGGAGTGGGCCATGTTCAAGGTTCACATGTGACCCGAAAAGTAGAACAAACAAACAACATTCTGATAATGGACATTTTTCAACACTGCTCATCTCTTAACATTTGCATCTTTCCTTCAGATGGTTTCGCTGCCAGCGTTCGCTGTGGCTCGCAGTACAACAAGACGCGTGGTAATCTCAGGCTGAGCGGCGACTCCCGTGTCATCTGTCAGGGATTCACCGGCAAGCAGGGCACCTTTCACAGCCAGCAGGCGCTGGAGTATGGCACCAAGCTGGTTGGCGGCATTTCGCCCAAAAAGGGCGGCACTCAGCATTTGGGCCTGCCGGTCTTTGCCTCCGTTGCGGAAGCGAAAAAGGCAACGGATCCACATGCCACGGTCATCTATGTGCCGCCACCAGGTGCCGCTGCTGCCATTATGGAGGCACTCGACGCCGAAATTCCGTTGATCGTCTGCATCACCGAGGGTGTGCCCCAGCACGATATGGTCAAGGTGAAGAGCGCCCTGATTAGCCAGGACAAGTCGCGTCTCGTCGGACCCAATTGCCCCGGCATCATTGCACCCGAACAGGTTTGTAGCAGTTGCAGCTGTTGTGATGCCTCAAGACAGCTCTCGAGAGATAAGGCTGATAAGCGTTGGGTGCAAAGTTCATTCGACTAAAGCGATCGACCGGTCGCTGGTTTCTTGCTTGTTATACCCTGTTCACAATGCACCAAAGGGTATATTGGTTCAGTAAAATGATTGTTAGCTTGGATTATATACTAGTGTATGTCCGCGCAGGTTTTTATGCCCGACAATTTGAGAGACACTGATAAAAATTCACTTCAAAAAAGTATCGGAATGGATTGCAGAAAATAGCTATAAAGAGCTGAATAAGCATTCCGGAATCGGCTAAATTATACCGTAAACAGGGTATTGTGTAGTCGGTATCGTTCGATGCACCTTTATACGTGTTTATTTGCCGCTTTATCGCTGTGCACAAAAATGTGAACAAAATATAAATAGATTTCGACTATGCCCAGCCGGTTCATCATAACGAGCGCACACTGTTTTATGCTGGCATTGTTTATTTGCGCTTATCTCTTGGACCCTGTGACGCTTGAACCGGCTTCATAATTTTTATCCATATATATATAATTATATATTTATTGATTAACCTCTGTTTGCAGTGCAAAATCGGCATTATGCCCGGCCATATACACAAGCGCGGCAAGATCGGCGTTGTGTCCCGCTCGGGCACCCTCACCTATGAGGCGGTGCATCAGACCACCGAGGTGGGTCTGGGCCAGACGCTGTGCGTGGGCATTGGCGGTGATCCGTTCAATGGCACCGATTTCATCGATTGCCTGGAGGTCTTCCTCAAGGATCCCGAAACCAAGGGCATCATACTGATTGGTGAGATCGGCGGTGTGGCCGAGGAGAATGCCGCCGACTACTTGACTGAGTTCAATACGGTAGGAAATAATGATATAACCAACTGATTTAAAGCTAATCATATCCAATTTCTTCCTTACAGGGCATCAAGGCCAAGCCGGTGGTGTCGTTTATTGCTGGCGTTTCGGCGCCACCCGGTCGTCGCATGGGTCACGCCGGCGCCATCATCTCTGGCGGCAAGGGCGGTGCCAACGATAAGATTGAGGCTCTCGAGAAGGCCGGCGTTATTGTAACCAGAAGTCCTGCCAAAATGGGTTACGAATTGTTCAAGGAAATGAAGCGCCTGGAGTTAGTTTAGAGTTAAACCAAAACCAATTGAACAAAATGTGACAAAGTTAAAACCGAGGTACCACAAGTACGACTCAGATGAAGAAATATGCAAAGCAGTAAAGATTATTAACTAAATTAAGCAAAAAGTGTCTGGAGAAGTGAAAACAAACCAACAACTAAATGAATTATGTCGACATCCTAAATAAATTATTGTATAATTCGCCTAATGTGAAAAGAATACGAAAAGTATAAAAACAAACGATCTGAACGAGCTGATTTATGTATTCCGTTAAAACCATCTAATTTAAGTAACTGCCGTACCGTACCACCTATAATTATATCAAAAGTTGAAGAAGTTAAAGAAAATGCACCGCGCACCTAAGATTCGAATTTTGTTGTTGCACTCGCTTTGAATGCACTCAGAAAAGTAACCAAGCCTTACTTTAAATATGCTTTAAACGACTTTGTTTACAAATCTAACGTTCACGCTCGAAATAAATGTTGTAAACATGCAAAATATAAAATAAGAATTGCATTGAAAATTGGTTGTAAAATGTAAAAGCATAAAAGTTTCAAATAACAGAGTGCATTTAAACAGGAAATGTTATATGAGTCCATGCTGTTAAGTTGAGGAGCATTTCTGTTAAGTGCCGAGTACATTGCGTTGGTGCACTTGTTATCGATACTATCGTTTGCATTGCAGCTCTACCCCAGCTGTTTCCATATAATCGGTCAGAATTTTGCAACACTTGCACAGCAAGCGTAAAAGAAAAAATTTCTTTGTGCAATTTACAAAACATTTCGTGTGCACCGTGCAAACGAAATTAAAAAAATTAAAAGCCGTGTGTGAAAAGCAGCATCAGGCTGCAACAATATACCAATCAAACGCCAATCAAATACAAACAACAATAAACACAATCGCAGCAGCCAGAAGAGTCCCAGCCATAAATCAACACAATGCCAGTGTGCAAATTGCCTGCTGTAGCATCTCAAATGGGCAGCAGAACTGAAAATGGTGAGTATCGAACGGTATTAGTGCATAAACAAATACAAACACAGATGCAATTGTACAATTGCAGGCTTTTGTTTGCCGTACTATGCATATATATTTAATTATCAATTTGATACATTTCGTTGTTATTGCTGCTCATTTGCGGCGTTTTTAAGTGCCGGCTTGCTTTTGTTGTAGTCGGCCGCATAGCTCGTTTCCATTCTTAGCGATTTCTCCCAGCGCATATCGGCCCTGAGCCGGCAAAATTTGCCAGTTTTGCTGCGATTACCATAGCTGAGCATCAAGTCTCGATCTTCTATCTTGCTCGGCACACTGCCGCTCTGCTCCACAGCCGCCGTTGCATTCGCCTGCTGCTTAGGCAAAATCTCGTACATGATCGTGTAGGTTGTTGTGAAATTGGTGCTCATATCTTTGGTCAGGGGGAAACGCACTTGCGACTCCCTGTTCCGTTGGTGGTTGTGCACCGATTCGTTGCGTGCGCCCAGAAACTGTCGCGTCATATCGTCCGCCTCCTCGAACACAGAGGACGGCAAATAGCTATCCTTGATTTCGGTTATGTGGTGCTCGCACGCATCTACGCGCTTCAGTCCTGGCAATATGCAATCGTTCTTCTCGTCGCAGCCCAGGCGCAGCTCCTGCCAATTGGACAGCAGCACCTCCTTGCCAAAGTTCTTGCTAATCCGCTCGTTAATGTACGAGCCGCGCGGCAGCGTACTAAACATTTTCAAATATCAAATGGACTCGGCACTAAAAACCCCAATTCGCGTATAACTAGGACTTGCAAATTTAAGAAAAAAAAAAGAAAAAAAACGGATACAAAATTATAAAAATAAAATGTAAGGAATATTACATTTCGGAATTTTAACACATAACTAACAATTTTTGGCTAAAGTTCAAAGTTTTAAAATGCCATCACAATTTTGGATAAATTTAAATGTATTCCTGTTAAGCCTAAAAAGATTCTTTCCCGACTTTTTCTATAAAGTTGGAAGGCATATTTGCTACAGCATTCAGGTTGCAAATTATTAAATAAAATCCTAATTGCAGCATCTGCTTAATAAACAGAAATACTTAAAGGGTGGCAACGCCATGCTGAACGGCTCTTTTGTGAACAAACATGCTCAAAGTGTTGCAAAACGTAGAAATTATTATTTTTTACTTATAACTTTATTCTTTTCTCCGTTGACTTCCTTTTCCGCAGTGGCGTTGCCAGAGTTTTTTTTCGTAGCAGTTAAGTTGGCTGCGCCTTGACTATGCTTTATTTAGTTGATGCTGAAAGTCGAGTTAACCAATTTCTTGTGACTCATGACTGCGCTTCTCCATTGTACTATATTAAAGTAATTTATATGTTTGCCAAGACCTGCTGCAATTCTCGCCAAATCAGCGGAATATATTGTCGTGCCCATGTCCAGATCTTTGGTTATATAGTTCTCTTTTGAGGTTTTTGTCTTGATTCTTTTATTGGACGAACGCTGAAAGTTGTTGTAGTTTTAGAAATATATTTGTTTGGGTTGAAAATAGATACGGAATGGATCTCAGTGCGTTTTTGTACGCCATTGTTGGCGTTTTTCGAGTGGGTTTTTATTGAAAATCTATTTTGTGAAATAAAAACGAACAAACGACCAGGCCTGGCGGCGGGGCCGTCAGTTCGCATTCATTGCGTCGTGATCATTTCGTTGGTGTTGTTTTTTCTTCTTCTTACACCCTTCTTATACCCATTGGGAATAGGTGAAAATGAGGGGTGTAATCCGTTTTTGAAGTTTTTCGGCTGTTCCAAGGTACATATGTGTACTCTTGATCTGAAGGTTGAGCTGAGTCAATCTTAGAGACTTTAAGAGTGTACTTTCTTTCTTTCTATTTGATATACATAGGTGTTGTTTCTCGTATATTATTCGGAGAACAAAATACTTTTAATTTTTGTAAAGCTTTTCTCCTATAATCGATAAATATCGATTTTATTGCCTGGGTTTTTTTAACAATGTTACTAAAAAGAAAAGAGCTAGACTTTAAATTTGATATCTTGTGCATATATATGTATATGTTCTCGTAGATCATATCAGGAATATTACTAGTCATTTTTCGATAACTCTAGTTAGCCTAGGTTCATTCGGTATATCTCCTAGCTACATTTTTGTTATGTCGGCTGGAGTATAGCCTAGGAAGGATCAAAAATATATCATATAACATCATAATCATCATATCAAACAGAAATGAATGAAAATATAGCTTTATTTTTGGTATGTACATAAGTGTGAATACAATCTGACATACTTTAAAAAGGAATGAACCATAAATAGAAAAGTTATATCGGAACGAAATACTCTCTTAGTGTAACACAGAGTGAAGAGAGAGGGAGAGAGGGAGATAAAGCTACAGGGTAACTGCTAGTCGTGCAGCTTTAACTCGAGCATTCTTCCTTGTATTTGTTGCACTCTTTTTGTTGTTGTTGTTGAAATAACCCGGGCAAAGCAACGGCATTACTTTTGGCTAGCCCAATGCCTAGCTATGCTAAATACACACACATATGTATATACATATATATACATATATGCACCTATATCTTGTGGTATATACAAAGCCGATATTTACGCTGAATATAACTGAAACAGACAGCACGCGTTGCATGCCGCAGTCTGTTGCAGTTGCAAATGTTGTTGTTGTTCAGATGATGCTATAAACGAAATGTCGTCGTCATTCCAATTGTTATGGTTCATTCTCTAGTTGTTGTTGTTGTTGTTCTTTTAATTGTTGTTGTTTTAGTTGTTCTTGTTGTCGTAGTCAGTTGTTGTTGCGCTCGGATTCGCTTCGTTCGTTCGTTTTTCTGTTTACAAAATACACAATTTTTACTTGAACACAACATTGTTTTATTTTCTTCTCTTTCTTCTGTTGCGCGCCCAGAAATGTTGAGAATTTGTGTAAATTAATTTATGAGTTTTTTCACGCCACTTTATTTATTTGTTACACTTTTCTACAGCATGTACTTTATACTTATATTTAAATATATATTTATATACTTGTATCTTTGCGTATAATTTAATGAATCTGTGATAAGATCTTTGATTTGGCGCAAGTCTCAAGGCAGAATTTACACACACACACACACACACACGTCTGCGTATTCCATTTAGACAGGCCCCCAGGCAGGGCAGGCAGCTGCCTCTTTGCATAATTCATAACTCCCGCAGGTGCTGCCGGTAGCAGCAGCCGAAGGGTGTGGAAGGGAGGGTAGGCGGAGGTGGGTCACACAACAAAGCAGCAATCAAATGCGCCCTCGTGTGCCCCCTCGTGTATGCAACAAGATTTTGTATACCTTAGGTTTGAGAAATACTCGTGAGGGGCCTCTTGGGCTGGCTTAGCTACTTTGCCAGTGTTGCAAAATGTGTGAATAGAGTGTGCTGAAAATTGAAATAATTGAGCAAAAAGTTGAAAAGTAAGTGTTTAGACTTATAATTGGTTTGACTATAATTGGTTTTTAGTTGATTAAATTAGGTTAGTTGATATATTCTACATTACAATAAGTAAAATTATGATTTCAAAAAGGTTCACTTAGATGCACCTAGACGTTTCTCAACACTTAAAGTTTTAAATGGTTTGACTCTTCCCAGCACCTTTTGCTTTTTCATGCTTAGTTCACTTAATTCACAAAAACTAACTTAATCCATATCAAGTTAACCTCGCCTTAAGCCTTTATAATATGCCAGGCTTGTGCAATCGTTTGCAGGACATCTTTCTGAGTCATCTTAACGGCCAGGCTCGATTCATATACTTGCCTCTGATGTGCTTAGCTGGCGTTTTATGCTCTTTGAGAGCCTGACAGGACACCAGCACGCGCAGCCACCCGCATATTTCAACTTGTGTCAGCTAAAAAACAAGGCAGCATGATTGCAAGCCTGGCCTCTGCCAGGATGAAGAAAGCCACGCGCTCGCCTCACACATATATAAGCTGCATAATCTAGCTGGTTTAGTGGGCGGCAAGGGGCGGTCCAGGGGGGGCTGTTGTGGAGGCTTGTCCTTTCAGGCTGAACACGCGCGTCGCTTAAAGTGAATGTCGTGTCGCTTGTCTGTTGTGTCTCTTGTCTGGGTCAAGCGGTAAAGTGAAAGCAACAACAAAAACAACAAGCAGCAGCAGCAAGTGCTATTTGGTTGTTGTCCTTGTTTTCACTGCCGCCTTGTTGACACCTTTCACGGCCGACGAATTAATTAAAGTGCCCCCGAGGTGTTTGTCGTAAAACATTTAGCATTTTAATTGCGTCATAAAGGCAGCAAAAGCATAGAGAGCATTTCGTGTCCTTTGGCATTTGACGCCTAATTAGATGAGATTAGTTTGGTTAGAATGGAGGTGCGTCCATTCAAGGATTAATTGAAGTCAAGACTCTTAATTGGAACGCCTTCTTAAGGCAGTGTCACCCACAGGAGCGCAGCGTCGGAAGTGTTAAACGCAGCATCCTTGCTTTTATACACGCCTGGCACTTGGCCTCGAAACGCATTGGCGCTTTAAGCTCACACGTGCGACAGGCACTTGTCAGCTCACTCACTCACGCTAACTCGCTGACAGCAGCTCTCGCACGCTCTCTCACTCGCTCTCTCTCGCTCTGTCTATGTTGACCCAAATAAGATGTCGTAATTGCAGCAAGGCGCGACACTCACGACATTTACACACACACATACATAGACAGTCGCTACGACGTGCAATTACGCTTACGTTACGTTTACATCAACCGAGAGCCGAGCAACAATCGTCAAAAGTTGCCATCTTTACTTACGCGCTCTCTCTCTCAATTACACTCTCGCTCTTCTAATGAGCGCGCGCTCCATGTAAACAATAGCAGCAGACGTATCAAAGCTGATGGCTTTAAACTTTTAGCGGCGGCGTTTCGTTTCATTGCCATTGTTCCGCTGCCAGGCTGTGCATTAATTATTTACTGCGACGCATAAGCCTACCCCCCACCAGCAGCCTTCTAATGCTGCGTAGTACTTGTTTATATTTAATGATGCGCGCGTGTGTGTGTGTGCATGTCATAAAGCTAATCGCTGCGAATTCGCATGAATTGGTTTTCAATTTGCATTTGTTTGCTGCAAGCGTGGCTTATTGTGCTGCACGTTCTGTTGCATACTTTGAGGCTGCAGTCGCGCGCTCTCTCTCTTCCTCTCTGCTGTTTCTGAATCTAGGACACAGCGTGTTCATTGCAAATCCTTTAACTACTCAATTGTGGCACATATTGAGGTTTTGCCTATAGTCACGGCAACTGACAATGAAATCCTCTCACACACATGCATACACACACACACACTCACGAGAACAGTTAACTGCGATTTTGTAATGCCCTGTCACAGCCCTTCTCCTGCTCCTCCTCCTCCGCTCACTTCGTCCTTTATTCCGCCCATTAACCAACGGTTCTGTTTTACAGTTATATATTCGTAAAAGCTTTTTTATTACCCACTTTGCACGGCCGATGAAATTCCATCAATTCATCTAAAAACTTGCGCATTTCTCTTTATGCAGTAAATGTAATTTGAGATCCATAATTGACAGCGATGCATTGAAATGTGTATTTTCCCGTTTTTAATTGAATTGCAACAACTTTTTGCAACTAGAATTTTTGATTTTATATTTTTTGCACTGATATATTGCGATAGTTTTTAATTGAATTTATGCGCCTGATTGAATTTTGAATGCAGTGCCGTTTTTTGAGCTCTAACGTTAAAGCCCAATATCCGATTTTTAAAAGTTTTTATTCTGTTCCGAGGCAGATTTATGGAAAAACAGGCACAGGGATTGTTCTACTAATGTTAGGCAGG